AAGTTGCTTTATTTAAAAAAATCAATAGAATAGATTAACCTCAAGCTAGACAGAACAGCAAAAATTAAGAGCAGATCTAAATTACCAACATGAGTGAACAAGGGCATATTGTTACAGACCTGAAAGACCTTAAAAGAATATTAAAGAGCTAGGCATGTTGGTGCACATAATCCTAGCTCTCTGGGAAGCTGAGACAGAAGTATAAAAAGTTTGAGCCCAGTTTGAGCAACTTAGCAAGACCCTTTATTTAAAAAAAATGTAAAAGGAATAAGGTTGTATCTCAGTGTGAAGGTCCTGGGTTCAGTCTCCAATACTGGATACGGGGGAGGGATATTATAGAAATAGTATGAATTGCTCTCAAAAAATTTAGTCTCAGTGAATGAGAATCAATTATAAGATGAAAGCAAGCAGACCTGGGATGGTGCTGAGTGCAATTTGTTTTGAATTTATTGACAGAAACATGGTCATGGGTGGCAGCAAGACCAGTGAATCCCTGTATTTTGGATTAAAGGAAGGGGATTCATATAGAAGCTGGGAATAAAAGTGACTTCATCCAAGCTGAAATATTCCTGGTTTATCTAAAACTGCCGTTACAGATTTTAGGCAAGCTGGAAACAGTGATGTACATCCATAGACCCAGCTACAAAGGAAACTGAGGCAATAGGATCACTTCAGCCCAGAAGTTAGAGGCTAGATGGGCAACATAGTGTGGCCTTGTCTCTTTAAAAAAAAAATCAAGTACATTTGTGGTGCTGATGGTCCAGTTGTAAAATTTCATATATCACTGTAACGATTTTGTTTATTGATAGCATGCTGGAAAACTATTTGAAGAAAACAGACCAGGGTTATGGGCAGTCATGGTGGTTACAACTCAAGATGGCTCAGTCAGGTCAAGCTTGTTTTCAAAACAATTATGTGCTAATAGATTTAACAACTTAGATAAAATGTGTACATTTTCAAAGAAACAATTATCAACACTCAGGAAGAAATAGCCCTATGTTTATTGTTAAAATTTGGATAACCCTATATTTATTAAGTAACTTTTATTTGTAGTTAAAGGTATTCTCATAACAAATATTATAAGGCCATATGGCTGCAGTGGTAAGTTGTATTAAACATTTAAGGAAAAAATCCTAATCTTATTTATCAATCAATAAATAAAAATTAAAAGAAACACGTTTCCATCTCATGTTAGGAGATAGCATCATTCTACTACCCAAACTAAACAAATACATTGAAAAGAAGGCACAGGAGGAAGAGAAGGACATGCAAGAGATGATGATTTTAAGACAATACATCTTGCAAACATAAAATTTATTAAACTGTTAGTAACAGAAAATCAGACATGCAGAAGAGACTGCATCATAATCTTTACTGTGATTTATTCCAGCAGTCCAAGGTTGGTCTAACTTTAAAAAGTCAACCAATTAAGTCAATAAATGGAAGGAACAAAGGCGATAAATCATATTATCATTTTAATAAATGCAAAAAGAACATGATAACATTTAATTCTAGTTATTATATCTCAGCCAACTAGTTATACAAGAGAGTATTCGCAACCTGATAAAAGGTGTTTAACAAAACACCTGGGGCTAACATCATACATAGTAGTGAAGGACTAAGGTCTTTCACCCAACAATTGAGAAGGATGTCCGCTTTTAGTTTCTAAATCAACCTTATACTAGAGGTCTTAGTGCAAAATACAGCAAGAAAAAGAAGCATACAGATTGGAAAGAAATAAAACTTTCTTTATACTTAAATGAAATGATATATATAAAGAATTTTAATGAATAGATAAAATTTACTAGGAATAATAAATTTAGCTAGGTAGCAGGACACATGGTCAGTATACTAGCGATTAATTTACAATAGCACCAGAAAACATTTAAATAAGGAATGAATTTAACAAAATGTATGTAAGATCTGCACACTAAAAACTATAAAACCTTGCTTAAAGAGATTAAGGAAGATCTTCATGAATGGAGTGATTTTTGATGAGTATCCCTATATCTGCTGCCAAGGAACCCCTCTGGCCTTCACATTTAGCATTTGACTGGAAATAATCACTTCTAGAATTAGTCATCTTTTGTCACAGAGTCTACTGTAGTAAGCAATGGAAACACAATTTCACTGTTCTTATGGTTAAAATTTTCCTTATATTTCTCAAATGTCTGGCAGAATTCATGGTACCGTAGCATCCCAGTTCATCTCAGGTGAAAAGTTTTAAGTATTGCTCTGCTAACTTGTACCTGAACTCATCTTTACTCCACCTCTTTTGAGGGAGTACTCACTGTCAGCAGGTAGGATGATCCAGTGCAATATCACACCTTAATATCTGCTCTCTCACTAGTAACTCAATTGTAGCAGATTGGATTACTCAGGAAATAGTCTGACGTGAGAACTATTGTGTAGGCTGTTCATTAGCAAATGTTCTTGGGATCAACATCCATGGAAGGAAAGAGAAGGAAAAGAAGCAGAAATAGACAGATAAATAAGTCAAAGTGTCTTACTGGCTTCTACTGACTCCATGGAGGACTCTGGAGCTAAGATATGTTAGAACTTCAACTTCAGAAGTGTTCTGAGTTGAGGTAAGGGGACTGGAACTGGGAGATATGACCTTAGGCAAGGTGGCACTTTTTCACTGAGGTAGTTCTCAGAGGAGACTGACTTCAGAAGACTCTGCCAGGTGCACTCTAGTACTGGAGAAGTCTAGCATTTTGACAAAAGCTATGGACAGTGCAGCAAATGTTCTCAGATACCTTGAATAATAGACTCACTCTGGCTGATCTATTCTTCCATTATCACTTTTAAGTAATTCCACCATGTTTTCTGGAAGTGGAAGGATTTTTGGATACTATTCCAACAGTCTTGGGCTGTTAAGTTTTCTGAATTCTAATCCTTGGCCTGGGGATTTAGCTCATTGGTACTGTGCCTGCCTTGCAAGTGCAAGGTCCTGAGTTCAATCCCTGGTACCAAAAATAAATAAATAAATAAATAAAAACTGAATTCTGATGCCTATGGGATCCGTAAGGTCTTTATAACTAAGCATGTCTTAAAGATGCTCATTCATCAGTGAATTTTCTCTGATATCCCTTAACAAATTGTTTTATGTATATGTCCATCTTAATTTTTATATGCTAGTTTTCTAAATTTGGAATGTGAATCCCTGATTAAGGTACTTTAAATTCTGTTTATGCCTAAGGAGAAAATTGATGTTTATATATCTTGATACCGCTCTACACTCTTTTTCTATCTGTGAATACACAGTTTATGTGTTGGTACATTTAGCATAAATTCCCTGCAGTAATGAGACACCAGATATATAGTCCTTCAGAGAGTAGACTCAGAGAGACCCCCTCTATGCAGTTAGTAAGAGCTAACTGCATGCAGTTCTAAGGACTCTGTTGAGCAGGGCTCCACCTCGATCTATTTAGTTGGAGCAGGGAAAAGGAAATCGAGGTGCCTTAATCTGATTTTTGCTGCTATAAAAGAATACCTGACACTGAGTAATTTATAAAGAAAAGATCTTTTTCACAGTTCTGGAGGAAGCGTAATATGAAGGTTTTGGCATCTGGTGAGGGTATCGCACAGCAAGAACAAAGGAGCATGAGTACTCAGGTTTCTTTTTCCCTTCTTATAAAGCCACTAACTCCATCATAAATGCCCTCCCCTCATGATCTCATCTAACTTTAATTACCTCACAAATACATATGATTTCAGGATTTATTTCCAACACATGAACTTTGGGGAACAGGTAGAGAACAGCCCTTCAAAGATTTCCCTAGACTTAACATTGTTTTGAGTTTTATGTTATTTTTTGATTAACATGTATAAATTCTACATATCAGTAGGATTTGGTATAAAGTTTCAACACATGCATACAGTATGTACTAAATCCAACCTCCCTTTTCCACCTTCCAAACCTCCCACTTCTGAATGGCTAATAATCATTTTCTACATTTAAGCCCACTTTTTAAAAAAGATGTTTAGGAAAGTATATTATTTGAAATCTGACTCATAAAATCTTTTTTTTTTTTTTTTTTTTGGTATGGGGGATCGAACTCTAGTCCTTGCGCTTGCGAGGCAGGCAGCGAAACCACTGAGCTAAATCCCCGGCCCATAAAATCTTATTAAATCATGGCCAACTAATGAAACAACGTAAAACTAAGAGATTGTCTATACTGCCCCCCTCTATCATGCAGTGATGAGGAAGAGTCAGAAAACACTGAATGTGAATGTGCATAGATCTTGTCACTCGGCGTTGGATCCTCAAATAGATTAATGTATTGTGTCTACATATAAGATACATTGGCCAATGTGTTAATTCTTGGTACTGGACTTGATGAATAGCATATTCAAATACACAAGGCTGGGGAAGACAAAGCCGTCTTAGCACCTTTCGTTGTAGATATTGGAAGTGTGGAGTCTTCATGGCTTAACTGCTGGGTTATGTGATTAGATTGGAATTTCCCCAGGGGACACTACAAATCAGCAAGGAGATGATGGCACAGTTGCTCATCCGGCTGGGGAAGCACTTGAATAGCTAGTGCTGGCACCAACTGGAACCATTTTCAATCTCTTTTTTTTTTGGTACCGGGGATCAAACTCGGGTCCTTGCGCTTGCTCAGCAGGCGGCGAAACCACTGAGCTAAATCCCCAGCCCAATTTCCAATCTTTTAATAAAGCTGGTTCACTAGTTCGCCAGCAGGAAGGTACCAACTATCTGGCCATCTGGACTCTTCCTCTTCTGAAAGCAGATACCTACTGGGAAGTTAGAGAGTAAGCAGAAGTCCAGGGCCAAAGGCTTCAATTTAAGGCAATCTGCGTTTCTGAGGTGTAGGAGACAGTAAATGAAACTATAATCCATGAAGCTTTACTTTTACCTCATGAATAGAAAGCATATTTTCTTCAGGTTGCTCAAAGAATTGACTGAATCTAACACTGGTCTCTTAAGAACACTCCCTATAACAATTAAGTCTCAAATATCTTGTGTTTCCCAGCCATCTCCATCAGAGCAAGACCCGAGCCAAGAAGGGACATGATTGTTGCAATCTAACTCAGTCCTCCTTTGTCAGCTCCAGGAGAAATTTCAGCTTTTGGTCACCTGGTCAGTTCCTTATTTGTTCCTTCTGGCTCCTATCTTCTAAGATGAAAGACCTTGTACTTGGGTCTAAGTGTGTCCCCCGAAGTTCACGTGCAGCCATGCACTCCTTCCCAACTCTTGCCTGCCTCGGATCCAGGAGCTTTCTGAGAAAAGCTACATGTCTAACTTGGTTTGTTCGCAGTTATCTTTGCAGCTAATGGCCACCCACAGAGTTGGATGTGAAACAGTGCAAAGGATTTGTCTGTACACTGGAGACTGAAAGATAGAGTCAAAGGTCTGGAGCTCACTGCGGAGTCTGTATCAGGAGGCCAGTGTGTCAGTGACGGAGGGCTGAAAGTCTATGCCAGAAGCTGAAGAGTTTGCATTGGATGCCAGGAGATGATGTCCAAGATGAAGGCAAAGACTGGAGCTTCTCCAAAGAAACAGAAGCAGATCCACCCTTCTTCATTTCCCCTTTATACCGTCTAGGCAACAAACCACCCTAGGGTGGGTCTTCCATGTCTTAGAGTGTGGAATTGCTGAGCCAATTTAGTTGAGCTTGTCTTACTGAGGTTGACACAATCAATCAACCATCACAGGTTCCAAGAATTGAAAGAAGTATCCTGCTAAAGAACATCATAAGAACTGTGGAGAATTTTTAAAACTGAAGTTGAAGGAAATGTAAAGGCAGGATTGTGAATGACCTTAAGCTGTTTCAATCAATTTTCAATTACTAAATAAAAATAGAGACTAATAAAAACCAAATATTAAGCCATAAGTGAAAAAATATTTTTTACTACCAAGCAGGGAAGCCTGTCTTGTACCAGAAGCTGTTAGGTTGAGATGAGGTCTGCGGAGATAAGGTAGGATAGGTCTTAGAGCTAGAAGATTATAAACTTCGCATCTAGAGAAGGACAACACAGCTCAGAGTGGTGTTCACTGGCAGGTAGTGTCTGGTTTGTGCTTATGCTAGCATTAGACTTGTGAGAGTTGTATGTTGTACCTTTAGGCTCTGGAACCTGGGCACCAGTGACCTTGATACAGCTCATTTTGGAGAAAGCTGGCTGCTTAGGGCTATTACAGCGTTGGGAATTGTGCAGTGGGCCATGGCGCATCAGCACTACCTTCAGGAAAGTGTGAAACCTTTGACAGTTTTTACAGCATGGTCAGATTTGCATTTTTAGAGAGTCTCTTTTTGGTGATAGGAGAATGGATTGGATGCAAGAGTGGAGGAAGGAAGCCTATAATGAGGGCATTACAATATCCCCAATCTGGCTCTGAGGCAGCTGGGGGTACTCCCAATTCCAGGTTTGTGGGGCCTTTGGAACACTCCTAGAGATTAGTGTCATTTCAGAGCTTTGTTGTTCTATGTCCAGCTGGGAAAGAATGGAGATGAGTTGAGGAGATAGACCCTGACTTCACAGAGTTTTACTTAAAATGTGGACTCAAACTTCCTATCTTCTAAGTTCACAAGCAAAGGGGACATGCAACAGACCACAAAGAGTTGCCCTGAGAATGCCAGGGGGCAAGCGGGTTAGAAAAAGCTTCTGTAAGCATGTGGTGCCACCAGCCAAAGGACTGGATGGCCATTCACAATTCTGGACAGGCTTGGATCTCTCGATCCCAGCTGATGGGAGCTTTCCTGTCACAAGCAAGCTGGACCTAGGGTTTCTTGACTAGTGTGTGCCAAATGGGTCCAGAAATAGAAAAGTTTCTGAAAGGACACAGAGAGGAAAGAGAGATGAGGAGTTAGGTAGGAAAAGCTGCAGTGTGTCTGCATATTCTTTGTGGGTCTTAGGGATTCCAAAGGTGGGTGTGATGGACTGTCATAACGGCACTGTCGTTGTTTTGCTAGTTGTTTTGTTGGTATGGAAGCTAAAGTGGTCCAATGTTTGCTTTTTGAGGCTGTCATCCCAAAGGGTCAGAGTCTCCTTACCCTGATATTAACAGAATAATTCTGAGTTTATGATGTGAGATGGTGGCTGACTACTGTGTGCCGTCTTCTGCCTCACAGGAGAGTGTGCTGCAAGTGCAGATTAGCAGTTCTCAAACTTTTGGCTCAGGATCTCCTTACAGCCTTAAAATTAATAAAGGCCTCCAAATAGCTTTGGTTTACATGGATTATAGCTATGATATTTAAAAATCTGTTAGAAAAACTTTTAATTAGAAATTAAAACTGCAAAGAATCAAAAATATGTACTGATACTTCTCAATTGACCATGGGGTCACATTCTGATAAACTCATTGTAAATTTAAAATATTGTCAGCTTAAAATATATTTAACCCACTTAACCTACTAAGTATCCTAGCCTAGCAATACGGTACACAGTAGAGTCTCATTTGTTTCCTTTGTGACTGCAAAGCTGACCTGGAGCTGTGCTTGCTGAGGATCTGACTACAGATCAGTAACCTGGGGAAAGATCAAAATTCAAAATTCCAAGTATGGTGTCCACTAAATGCATATTGCTTTTTTTTAAAAAAATGCATATTGCTTTTGCAAAACCATAAAGTAAAATATCCTAAGTTGAGAAATTGGAAGTAGGAGACTGTGCTTATTTTGAAACAATACATTTATAAATACATATTATATATATAATCATAAATCTTTTACATTTTAACAAGTATTTTAATAAAAAACTTTTCCAAGGCAAAATAATTAGTGAGAAAACTAGCATTGTATTGCTAACTAAAGGTCTAACTTAATGGAAGACAATCAGCTTCTCATATACACTTCTATCTTCAGTCTGTTGTGATAATGTCTTTTGGTTGAACACTGAGAAAAACTTGCCTCTCAGTAATCAGTTGTTCTTTTAAATTACTGTTTTCAAATAACTGAGTATTCTGCTTTGATACTACACCCAAACTTGGCAAGTAGTAGTGTTTTAAATGTTCACTGTTTCTTAAAATATTTTATACTCTGCTACATTAAAATCCATTGGTCTCTCTTCTTCATTGAGTGGATAATTTTCTCACTCATGATTTTGTAACACCATGCATTAGGTCATTTGGAAAATATTAGTTCACCAAGTTATGCAAACCCTCCAGATGTTGACACACATCCTTATACAATATCAAATAACATTTGTCAATATCACCACTGATCTTGTTAAGAAAATACTAGAAGACCAATGTGCTGGGCAAATGTTTTTCAAAATTTAAATATTCTCTTGAAAGCTCAAGTTTTATTATAAGCAAAAAATACTCTTGATTGTTTTTCTAGAAGTAATAGACTCACTTCATCCTCTTTTGAGAAAACATCTGCTAAATACCCAATTTTTATTAATCATCATTAGTCTGTTCTTTCCAGTAAAATAGTATTTAATGAAAAAAGAGTTTCATCTTGAAACTTTAACAACTACACAAATGCTGCTCCCTGGGAAAAGAATCATTCATTGGTGTGCAACATATGTGCCTTACATACACACATCCTATTTAATCACATAAAACATTAAAATAATATGCATTCAAGGGTTGAAATTTCATAAAAATAAAATCTTTTAATACTTTATCAGAGACATCCATAAGTGAAGCTTCTCTGTGTGGTAGCCACGGGCGTGAGGATGAAGAAAACAATGGTTATGGGTACAGTTTTGTGCTATGGGTTTGATTTGTTTTTGGATTTTCTTTTTTGATACAGGGATGGAACTCAGGATCTTGTGCTTGCGAGGCAGGCACAGTGCCACTGAGCTAAATCCCCAGCCCACTATGGGCTTGATTTGAATTAAGGCACCTGCAGTTCTATCCAACTTTGCTTTGGTATAATAGGTGCAAATATTTACAGAGTGAAAAAGATAAATACAGTTTGGATCTTGTGGAGTTCCTGACAGGGATTTTCAGAGACCCAATGGGCCATGTACCACAAATTGTGAGTTACTGGTACAGACAGAGACAAGAAGAGCTTTAAGCCCAGGAGTATTTCAAATGTTAGAAACTGAGTGAAGGGGGAAGATTCAGAAAAGAAAGTGAAGCAGGAGAAGCTAATGAAGTAAAAAGAGAACCAGGAGGAAGTGTCCTTACTACATAAGGACATCAATAGTGGTAGGGAAGTATGCCTGATTTGAGTGTATTAAAAACAGATGATGAGTGAGACAACAGTTGTACCAAGCGTGTCTTTTGTTGTGTGGATTCTGATGCTTTGACGTGTGGACATTGCTGACTTTGGAAAGACAGCTAATCCAAGGGCCAACCAATTGGTAAACTTTTCAAATACAGACCAACCTGTTCAGAGCCCCTGCCATCCACCAGGCTACTGCCTCCTTGCCCTAATAACCCAGAGCCAGGTAACAGATGACCCAGAATAGTCATCTACCCAAGAACTTCCTAAAATGATTCGAAGTATCCAACCTCTGCTTTTTCTACCTTCCCTGTTCCTTTCTGTAGTGACCATATACAGAATATCACCCTCAGTTGTTTCCTTCCCTCTGCCTCCCAATAAACCTTGGTGGCTCTCTGTGACATGGCATGCCTCACCTCTTGGGAACTATAAGCAATTAACCATATTTTCAGTGGTGATTATTTTTGATCTATTGGGCCTTATCATACCTCAAAATTTTTATTAATATACTATTTCTTAAAACAATGGTGATACTGAGTATAGACAACTCTTGTGGAGTATTTTGTCATAAAGAGAAATAGAAAAATTGGGGAAAGTTGAAGGGAAACATGAAATCAAGTCATTGTATGTGTTGTATGCTCATGGTGATGATCTTACCAAACAGGGAATAGTAATGATTCAGAGTGGATATGACCCAGTGTGGAAACGGAGCAGCTTATCTTAGACAAGTGTGACATTCATTAATCTATTTTAAAAGGGAGGAAACAGAATGTAGATGTACGTTGATTGTTAGATATGGTGGTTGAAAGAGTTGGAAATTCTCTTCAATTTTGATTTTATTTTCTCAGTAAAATCAGAACCAAGACCAGAAGCTGGAACCAGGCAGAGGAGGAATGCACGAGAGATGCAGGGAGAGGGCAGATGTGACTTGGAGGATGAGAGATTAAATTGATTAGGGCAAAATAGTTCAGGCCAGGGATTTAGCTCAGTGGTTCCGCCGCTTGCCTCCCAAGCACAAGGACCAGACTTCAATCCCTGGTACCAAAAAAACAAAAACAAAAACAAAAAAAAAATCACAAAATAGTAAGGCTTTCAGACAACTCTGAGGACCCCTTTCGGGGTTAGGGTCATGACATCTAAGTGAGATGAGGCCTGACCATGGTCTTTTCACAAGGAAGAGAAACAAAGAATTTTAAATCAACTTTTTAAAGAACAGTTTTAAGATTTACCAAAAAAATTGAAAATAGTACAGGGAGTTCCCAAATACATTGCATCTAGTTTCTCCTATTAGAGACAGTTTAACACAAGATGGAACATTTATTACAACCAATAACTAACTGTTATATTCTAAAAATTTATCCTTTAGTTGACTTCCTTAGTTTTTACCCAATGCCCCTTTTATTTCTAGGATTTCATTCAGGGGACCACATTACATTTAGTTGCATGTCTCTATAGACTATTCTTGGCTATAACAGTTTTTGAAAAGTTGTTCTTATTTCTGATGACCTAAGCAATTTTGAAGAGTACTGGCCAGGTATTTTTTTAGAATGCCTCTTGTTTTGGGTCTTTCTACTTTTCTTTTCACAATTAGTCTGTGGTTATGGGTTTTTGTAAGGAAGACCACATAGGCAACAAGCCATTCTCATCACATTATATCAAAGATATATGCTATCAGGGCCTACTGAGGTCGCGAGTCTTGCAGAACATGCCGA